TATATTAGCATCGAAAGATGCAGGCATCTCAATCCTAAGTTGGCCTAGGTCAACTTAGAATTCCAAGATGACCTAGGCCAATCTGGAATTGGCCTGAATTCTAAGTTGGCCTGTAACATATATATAGAAATGAAAAACCATTCTTTCTATAAAATAAAAAAAATGCCTAAAAACATGTAAACGTATTTAATTTCCTTTGGAGTTTTTCATTCATAATAGAGAATGAGAAGAAGTCAAACATTTTCCCTATGTTAGTAAACTCATCAAAGGAAACGAAGAAAATCTGTTTTTTCATCAAAAGAAAGATACATCGGTCGTTTGGAATATGATCCAAAGTGTAATATATCAAAAACATCGACATACATTAACACAAAAACTTTAAGAATCAACTCAGCTTTCTCCTTAGGGTCATTAGACAAATCTCCGTTCGAAGTTCTTAGCGATGATACACAAGGAGGTTTTTTCTTTTCAATCGCTCCACTTGCAAGAGGCCACCGTTTAGAGGAATTGATGACCCGAGAAGAGAGCAAAGAATAAAATTTTTGTTTTTCTCTAACACATGCGCTTTCAAAACGTTTTTTTATGCTTGTACTTTTCAAGATTCTGAAGTGACTCATCATTTCGCTATTGTTTAGCACTGCTGATACCATCATTAACAAGCGTTTGCATCATGTTTGCATCATGTACGGATATGGACATTTCTCAGACATTTCCGAATAACTGTACTGCGAATGATACTCTTGATTAGCAAATGTGTGAACATGAGCTGTGCTACCCATGATCACTGAGTAATTATGTATATAATTGAATAAGTATAAATAAATATTACCTTGAACAGAAATCAGTAAATGTCTTTGTAACTTTCCACAGTAATTTTCTGTTCGCAAACTGATGTCAGATACTTGAACCATGATTTCATATAATCCGGACAATGGCGGCTATACGTTAACGAGAATCACTTGAAATAATAATGGAATCAACAACATGCTGCAGTCGTATCCGTTTGATTAATTGAAATGAATGTTTCATGAAATTTGCACAGTAATGATATATGTTTTTATTTATGTGTATGGGTTCAAAATGCACTTCCATTATTTATTTACAGAACACTTTTGTGCTGTTCGAATAAAACACACATTAAATTTGTACCGATGAAGTCACATACGTACGTGACACGAGATTACCGCGAAGACTCGTTTATTGGAAAAGAAGAATAAATGATAAATGAGCCTGGTTTTGTATTTTGTATATCATGTTTTGAAACCTGGGCGAAGTTATTTAGTTAATAGTCATTATGTGATACGATTACAGATATACAGTTTCATTGCTTATCGTGCTTGACCGGTTTTCTCTTCAATACACGATAAACCGAAGCTCACTATTTATAGCAGTACGGAACCCGTGACACGACCTTTCTGCGAACAGGACCCCGACTCTTCCACGAAGTTTCATAGTACACATTTGGATATTTTTGGCAGTGTTCGGGAGGTGCGGGGGGGGAGGGGGGAGAGGGCATTGTGAGAGTGAGTTTGAAAAGCAGTTTCGCACAAAACATATTTTGTGATTGGAGAAAATCATTTTTAAGAAAGAGGTCGGTTTTTTCGATTTTTGACCTCTACTCAGTGTTTTGGATTTTTCTCAATGAAGGTGAGGTCAAATCGAGATAAAAAGGTGATATTCGTAATCAGTTAACAACGGCATTAGATGCACCGGAAGCTCAGCTTCAGAGATCTGATGAGTTGTTTTGAAATTCTTTTCCGTTGCTGAGAAAATTTATTTTTTCTAAATCTGAGGCAAAAAGTCAGAATTTTGCTCGTAGTGCTCAATTTTCTCCATCAGAACTTAAGTTTTATGCAACAAAAATATCATATTCGGAATCAGGATCAGAAACTGAGTTGACTAATGTGTATTTCTATCCTATCCGATTACTTTACTTTTTGTCGAATTTTCACGTTGAAAAATTATCGAGATTTTTGTCCAAAACTAAAAATCAAGTAAAAATTTCGAAATACACAAATTTATCGCAGAAATCCTTCGCTGTTTGAATCTCTTCTCAGCAGTGTACTTGAAATGGTTTTGGACAACTATACTTTATAAAAATTGAATAGTTGACCGACAAAATGAAACAGGACTTACTACTCGCTAAAAAAAAATTGTTTGCTACAATACCGTAAAGGTTTCGTGGGTCATTTCTGAATTTTTGATTGTTTCGCGTCTTTACACTGAATCTCTAGGAGTTTTGTAGATCGAAAGGTTTTGTGCCCAGTGTACGAAACTAGGCAAGGTTTCGTATTTAAGTTGAAAAATGCAAAAAGGTTCACCCGTATATGAATACAAAAGCTCTCTGTATACGTACAAAACCTGTTTGGACTTGGTGCAACAACATTTATTTAGCGGAAATAAAACGCATATAAATATATATGTCTTTTTTGTCTGAGAGTAGTAAAAAATAAGAGAGGTCTATTTTCAAAAAAGCTCTGAACTTAACGTATTTTGAAAAAGCTCAGAAATAGTACCGCTCGGAACCTTTCATTTCAAGCAAGTCGATACGAAACCCGTTCCACGAAATCTTTTGTTTAAAGAACCCAGACTTTTTCTACGAAACCTTCTTTCTACCGAACCTTTAGAGGTTTCGAATTCGTTTCATCTGTATAAACCTTTAAAGGTTCTGGGAGGAACAATTTTTTTTAGAGAGTATGGCATACTGCTTGGTATGTACGGACCGTATCACTCTAATATGAGTAGTAGCAGGAGCACTGATAATTTATACCATTTATCGTTGTTGGTATGTGCAGTAATAAATTTACATAGTAACTGGAATACTGATCCAAATGTCGTTTCCTTTTTACGCATAGAAGACAGTACTGTCCAAACAGCTTCAATTGATTTTGAAACGCGATTCATAGGAATTAGTTGACTCAGAATAGAAAGATAGTCCGTCATATTTAATTTTAATATAATACTGCCTTCGAAACAGTTCACTTCAGTGAAAAAACGCCAGATGTCTGATGATAATAATTTTTTTTTTAATACTGGAACAATGTCACCAAAATCGGAAGTTAATTTTTGTTGAATATCATAATAAGTTCTAAAATGAAAAAGTTGTTTGAAGTTTTGTAATGAAACTTTTTGTTGGCATATGTCATTAAGAATAATTCCAGTTATATCCAGAATATTATTGAATTTTGTTGTTGTTTGAATGTGTTGAAGGACATCTTACAGATCAGGTAAATGATTATCAAAAAATGAGTTAAAAAAGTCATTTTTTTCTTTCAGCGACATTTGGCAGCCAGGAATGAGAATTATTTTCAATTAATCTGAGAAGAGATGCATCATTAATAGATTTCTCCATCATTATCGAACAAATGCCCAATAACACAAATTTTTACAATACGATTTAAAACTTCTGAATCCAAGGTAATAACTGGATCACGTTGTGATAAGACTTCAAATTCAAATAGCTGAACAATACCAGCATAAAAAATTATATTTATTTCATCATCGCAATCGATTGCTGCATGAAGTGAAACATATTTCTTCGGTTCAATTCGAATTTGTTGGTTAAACGATGTTACTATCTCTTTTTCTTGTTGAAATTTAACCGATTTAATAAACGTTATTTTATTATTTATTTCACTTATATTAAAATGTAAAATCTTACGACCAGTATTTGTTATTATTAAGATTTTATGAAATGTTTTTCCTGGTTTAATTAATCTAATATCTACTAAACTTTTAGGAGTTGTTTCTAAGCGTGATCTGTTGAATTTAATTTCATATGGAAGTTTTTCATGTGCTGTAGAATTTAGTTGTAAATGTATACATCCGTCAAAATCACAAAAATCGATTGGATAATAAGAAAATTTAACCGTCTTGTCGGTATTTGGATTTAGAGAAAATTCGTTTAGTTCCATGCTAAATCTTGTTGCTAAGAATTGTTTTTCTCCATCTTTCATATCAAATTGATCATATTTAATCATCGCTTTTACATGTCTATTATTAATGATTTTTGCTTGTTGAGTAATTAGCATTATCTTACCGGTCTTTGGATCCCATAGTACTGTCATATCATGCGGGTGTGCTGTCGCTATATCTCTAGATAAATTCTTCGGCTTAAACTGCACATTAGGAATATTTGTTTCACAAAAAATTGTTTATAAAATACGATATTTACTATTCAAAAAGCCAATAGCAACTGTATGATGCTGTTTTGTTTATTGTTTCGGCATAGTAATTTGTATATCGAGATTTCTTTGTTTCACTCGGTGCCAAAATAATATTTCTTGTACTGAGTTGTAATACACTCACCAGATTTAAACAATATTCAACTTGATCCGTGTTAATAAATTCCAATGAAATGAATCGACTTTTACCTATGAGAAAGTCATTCAATGGCAAATTTGCAGATGATAATTGGTTATTGAGTATAGGTTTTTCTTGAAACATAACTGAAAGTTTTGATGGCCGAATATGTCCAAAAACTTTTAACGTTTTGAGATTTTTTGATGAATCAATAGCTAAAATAACATCAACATCAATATCAATATCTTCATTTTCATATTCATTTTTGGGTTGTAATATCAAAGTAAAACGAATTGTTGTGTTTGGTGGAAGGTTTAATAGATTATCCTTTAATTTTAACGAATAATGTAACGATTTTATTGTATCTTGTTGTAATTGTGATTTCATAAATAATGAACAAGGGAAAACGTTTTTTAAATTAATTGATTTTCCAACGGTTCATGTCTGTTAGATGGTATATAACCAAAATCAATTATATTACTAGATAATTCAACATCAACACGCACTACTTTCGCAGGAACATGAAAACCTTTTTTAATTACATTATGATCTAATTTAATATCATAATCTAGTTCATATGTATTAATCTCATTTGGTGGAGAAAATACTATGTCAATTTCCATTATTTCTTTTGAGCGTAAAACGATTTCATCAGTTGGAACATAAAACATTTTACTTGATTGTTCTGTCGTTGCACTGCATATAATTTGGATATTTCTTTCTTTATCAATTTGATTATGAAATACAACTTTTTGTTTTATATGTTTATGTATACCAATAAGTGCCATACCAAAATTAGTGAATGTTTCATGTGGTTCACATATAGTTAACCGATCTTTTTCGTAAATCCATAGATGAACATCTCTTCCAAGTTGTGAGTTAATAAATGCTGTATTCATATCTTTTTCAATATCAAATTTGCCTTGATTCATTGTTAGTACGTCATCAAAATCATTATTCATTTCTTTTGTTTATTCATAAATTTTATTAGCATTATCTGTCATTGTTTTATATATTTTAACTGCATTTATATTTTTGGGCTTCTTTTGTAATAGAGGATATATTTCGCTTAATTCGTTACATAATTGAGAAAAAGTTGTATCATCTATTGAAGAGCTTTCTTGAATTATGTTCATCCAGACGTACGCAAGAATCAGTTGCATATATAATGAGCATAAAATAAATATATAATCATCCAGTGTTATTTCAATAACTTTTTGTGCTTTACAATAGGCATTTTTCATCGAAGTTGTCCACATATTGCATAAGTTCACATCTGGCGGTATTGAATTATCATCATATTCTGTCAAAAGTAGATGTGTATCCGCGATCGATTTAATTGAAGTAAAATTTTAGAACTGTTCTTAGAGCAGTTGGTTCTGGAAATTTTCTAAAGCAGTCATAAATATCATTCACAGATTTTAATTCATTAATAGTAAATTCTTTAGAGGTTAACGTATCATTAATATTGTTTAGCTTTTCAACAAATGATTTCAAAAATCTTGTATCAAACAAATTTGGTATTCTTTCTTTTTCATCTTTTCATTTTTCTTTTTGAGCCTGTAATGTTAATCGACAGTTTGTTAACATATTATTCAACTCTTCCTTAGACAATGCTGTTTCAGGCAAATATGGATCTGCGCCCAATACTGTATAAACTTTTGTATGACATAAACTACAAGATACAACAATTGATAATTTTCTTGATTCCGCATCGCCCTGTAAAAGTTTTCGCCATTCATATTCTTTTTTCTCATCATCGATCTCTATTATGAGTTGTTTTATATCAGTTTGGATTCTTAACTGAATTTTTGTATATTTTTTGTCTAATAACTGTTGAATTGTTGCCACTGTTTTGCTTCCGTCTGTAAAATGTAACACAATTGTTGGTGTATCAGGATCTTTATGTGTAATATGCAGTTCATAATATGAAGTATATCGAAAAAAACGATTTTCATTAATTCTAAGTGAATGAAAGGTGTTTCTATCTGTGTCACATAATGATTCAAGACTTTGGAATAACTGGCTGGAAAGATTCTGAAGTGAAACGAAGTTTTACTATTTAATTATTAATCAGCTGTTCATAGGAAACTACCTGCAAAAAATTGATAAAAAAACTTTAAATACGGATTTCGTTTCTCTAAAAACAAGTGTAACTTTGGAATGGAAACATATATCGTATATAGGGTGTCCGCAAAGTCCTTAGAGTTAGAAAATGTTCAATGTTTTCGTCATTCTTTACACAAATGAGCTGATTTTTTTTCTGAGTATAGTAAGCGGATAGAAGTGTCTATTCATCACAAAACAGACCATTTATGAACATAAAACAAATAATTTTATTAACGCTATAAGTAAACTTTACAACGAGGTTTTTTCTCATAGTTATATACTGATGCTATAGTATATTCTTTTATTTATTTAATCAGAAATGTAAGTGATATGTAAGTGATATGTAAGCCTAGTTTGAGACAAATTGTCCTCCATTATTCATACAGACATGAAGGCGCTGTTGAACATGATCAGGTTCAACGAGTGGTTTACGTTTTGTACAAAATAAAACGTCATCATAGTGAATTACTTATTTCATTAAAGAAAGTTTGCTGTTTTTACGTTCATAAATGGTCTGTCTGCATTGAATAAACACTTCTATTTACTTTCCACATTCAGAAAAAAAATCAGCTCATTTGGGTAAAGAATAAAGAAAATATTGAACATTTTCTAACTCTAAGGACTTTACGGACACCCTATAGGTAATCGCCCACGCTGAATCTCGTAGCAACAGTTGTTTTTCAAGAAAGTTTCAGAAACCTAGTGAAAACCTATAGTACATGAAATATCCATTTTTGCATATCTTCGTGTAAAATTAAAATTTTGTACTAACTACGCATTTAGGTGCTCTACAGATTTGGCCTAGGATGAGTCGAATGCAAGAAAAACATCAGCTTTTTAAGATTATGAATAATGTTATGTAAATAATCAGATAGACTTTTTCATCTGAACGATGGCTCGAATCTTTTTCCAATTTGGCTGCTACATCCATGCACGTTGCATTCTTGATGTGCCACGCTCTGATAATTGTTTGCATCGGACTACAGTATACATTTCAAGAACGTCCAGCGATAATTCAAGTTCTTGAAAAAGTGAAGACCATTCTCTTTGCCGTCTCGACAAGTGGCTTTGAATTTATGACCCTGTTGCTCACCTGCAAACCCGCTTTATCTGGTTGTTCGGTTGTAACCAACTTCAGGGCTTGTAAGAAGTAGTTTTTCTGTGAGTACTGCATAGTCACTAGAGTGCCTTCATAGCTCATCTTATGGCAACTATTTGCTCTACAAAACCCAGTTGTTAGCGAAAGTTAAGAAAAAATCAATTTCCGTTTAATAAATTAGAATTGCAACTGGTCATCAGTGGGCACGCCCATGTAGTGCTCTAAAGCATTAGATGATCATCAATTTCAAGAAATTTCATGTTGATTGTTCCCCAGGAGTACCAGTCACTCATATTTATCTGTGATCAAGAAGAAAGAATGCCTTGGTTGATCCGACACACTAAGATCCAAGTAACTTGTCTAACGTTATTACATGACCTAGTAGCGGTGAGGTTCGAACACAGTTCGTTTGCAGTACGCGATGAACAACATAACCACTATGCCATGCCATCTCTTGAAAAGACATGCCTGAGCAACAACTGTACTATTACACATCTTCTAAAGAACGGCTTGCCCCACAAAACATCACTAGTTTTGGGTTCATTCGTGTAAGCAGCCGTTTTAATCGGAAATACGTATGTTTTTCAAGTATTTTGAGATCTAAAACAGCTTCTAACTGAAGGAAATATTGACTCTTTCAACATGCTGTCATAGGCGGAAATACTGACTCTTTCAACATGCTGTCATAGGCGAGAAATTTGTACATTTTCTTTCCACTCGAATAGACACGATAGACCGAAATTGTACATGATTCTCCTTCTTTTCAGATATATCATGTCTATTCAAGAAAGAAAAAAGAAAATATAAAAATAGTAGTAGACACCTACATGCTTAAAATTCAGCCTGTTGGCGTCACTAGCCGTAGTTGACACCACCTACTCTTTGATTTTTCGTGATAGTGGGTGATGTCAATAGCTATACCGAATTTTCTTTGTTTTTTGCCAAGGTTGGTTATCGCGTTACATAAAACGTGCGAATTCTACTCGTTTTAAAATAATTTTGTCATAAAAAGTTTTCAAATTAAATAGCGAAACATATCACCGGAACAAGAAAAATAAAGTTGGTTTAGAGTTGCTGAAAAGTGATTTTTCGTATTCATAACACTCGATAACCCAGACGATTTTCTATTTTTGGCCCGGGGTACTTCCGAAAGTTTAAGAAAAATTTTGAAACAAAATGGCGCAAAAAGTTTTCCATGGAAAAATAATATTAATTTGAAAACTTTTCCTAAACTTTCGGAAGTACCTCGGGCCAAAAATAGAAAATCTTCTGAGCTATCGAGTGTTATGAATACGAAAAATCACTTTTCAGCAACTCTAAACCAACTTTATTTTTTTTCCCGTGATATGTTCATAAAACAGAAAGCAAAATTCTCATGTTTGTCGTTGTTCTTACAACTTAAAACTATCTTTTTCTGACTCGTCATTATTAAACTGTATAGAAAAACAAAATCTGATAGAATTTCAACCTAAAACAATCGAAAAGACGCTTGAAACAAAACTGTGTATCGATTTTAAATTATATAATGTCTATTGTGAAAACTCTACAATAAAGTGTAAGAGTTGAACTGGATTTTAGTTTGAAAATGGCATTCCTGTTGTACATGGTTTGACGCTCAGTAAGATCAACAGAGACATTAATGTATATCATATTTAATAGTATATCTTAAAGCTCTATCAACTAAACTTAGCTTCGTTTATAATTGTAGGTCTAGATCATATAGAAAGTAAGAAACAGAACATGACTTGAATTTTTACATTTTCTTTTCATTTGTTGGTCTATCAGATTATCTTTCAGCCGCAAAATAATATGTAACTTCTAGATAAAAAGCAAAATGAGCAGTAATTCAGCCGTTCCAGAGCTTGATAAAGATACACTATTTTTAAAAAGTTGGCATACGTATAGACAAATATTAGCAGAAAATTACAATCAACATGAAACATTGTTTTCGAAACTGCCAGATTATATCAATAGTAAACTAAAAGTAAGTTTTTTTTGATGGGATCTAATTTAGTAAGAGACAAAGATCAATGTTTATTATTATCTTAGGAACCATTTTCTTTACTGGATCTTGGATGCGGTGATGCTGCCTATCTTACGAAATTATTTCATGAACATAACATATGGCGTCGTATTATATCTTATACGGGTGTTGATTTGTCGTCAGAAGCAATGAAAATTGGAGAAGAAAATATTACGGGAAAAATAATTTACGGGTATTGCTAAAAGACGCGAACAGCCACGAACACCCCCAAATGAAAATCTAAGTTAGCCAATCGATAGAGCTCGTCGAGCTGAGTATAGCAACGCCTAACGAACACCCAAAAAGGTCTTTATAATTTCGCTTTTTAAGCGTGCATCTTGAATGAATACCCACGAACGCCCACGAACACAAAGAAGAAAGGGTAAGAACACCCAAAAAAGTGCGCCTAATTCCTCTTCAGGTTATTCTGATTTGAGGGTGTGGTGTGGGTGTGGGGGGTGGGGGTGAGTTACTGGTAGGCTCACCCACATCTCGCCCTCAGCCCAGAATAACCTGAAGAGAAATTTGGCGCACTTTTTGGGTGTTCTTACCCTTTCTTCTTGTGTTCGTGGATGTTCGTGGGTGTTCATTCAGAATGTATGCTTAAAAAGCGAAATTATAAAAATTTTTTGGGTGTTTGTTAGGCGTTGATATACTCAGCTCGATGAGCTCTATCGATTGGCTAACTTAGATTTTAATTTGGGGGTATTCGTGGCTGTTCGCGTCTTTTAGCAATACCCGTAAGTTTTTCAGAAATACAGGAAATAAGCAAATGCAGAAAAATGACAAGTGAGATTTATGACAATGTGTTAACAATGTATTTATTGCTACGCATAAACTAAAGATTCACTGACCTTATTTAAAAATGTTATACCGCATTCAGACATAGTCATAGATAATCGTAGAAATCATGGTTATATCTCTTCGGCCTGGCCAAAGGTGACGGAATTCCCTTTTTTGGACTTCTTTGAGCCAGATCTCACTCATTTTAAAAACATAGGTTTTCAAATTTTTACTACACATAAAGAACTTCGAGTCCTAGTCGCACGAAAACGTTCATTCGATTTGGCTCTGCCAAATAAGAGTTATTCACAAATTACTGGTCGTGACGGAATTCCCGAAAATGGAATTTTTTCAAAGGTGCGCTTAGTTTCGTCTGTTTTGCTACGAATTGAGACATCATAGAAATAAATGTCTGAGATGAAAGTTGTGTAGATTTTAACAGGCTTTCAAAATACTTACTTCGTTTTTAAAATCAATCATTGAATCAAATAAAATTATAGAAATATCGTCCGTGACGGAATTCCATCTTTTTTTTTGATTTCTCATGCAGAAGATTTTTTTTCTTAAAAATTTCACTCTAAACACCTCCAATATTTCTTGCTTCCCGGTGTATCTCCTATCTGAACTAGTTTTCTCTGTATCTTTTCATCTATTATCAGTATAACATGTAAATCACATAAAAATTACTGTTGAAAATCCTAAGTGGCAAACAACACAAAAAAGAAAAAAACACATCAAAAACAAACTACTTTTCCTTTAGAACTGTTCGAATATAATTTACATTCAATTTTATCAACGTCCCAAACAATCACTGAATGCACTTTTTGAATATTCGGAACAGGTTTAACTTGTTCAAATAATTGTTTCAGGTTCATTTCAGCATATTCAATTTCACTTGTTAATAGTTCATCGATTATTATCGGTGTACTTTTATCTTTAATCAATCGTACAAAGTCACCAGCATTTTTGCATTTCTTTCCAGCCATTATGTCTTCATAAACCATTCGTTTCACTGTACCACCAATTCCATCGACGACACCTATAAATATTCCAAAATGAACGGTCTTGAGATGAAGATTTTAGGATCTTTTCCAGATGTTTTTATCTTAGAAGGTGACATAATTTCTGAATAGCAACTCAGAAAAAATGCTGAGGGGCAAGATAGCTACTATACTACCTGTACTACTATCGTTTTCAATGAATAATGGAGTCGGTTGTTTTTGCAATAACCTTTTAATGATGAAAGCTAGCGACTTGCGGTTTT